GACCCTGGCTGCCAGCTCACCCTCTGCTGGGCTCAGCTCTCCTCCCTGGGCTGGGATGGGTGCCTGCTCCATTTCTGGGCTGTGTGCCAGCAGTGGGGATGGATGCAGGGAGCAGGGTCCCTGGGCAGGAGGTGCACTGAGGAGGAGGCAGCTGAATCCTACAACCAGAGGGTTTTGTTGCAAGGACAGTTGGTTTTCAGAAGAAATCCTGAGGTTTCCTGCGCTTGAGAGCAGGATCCCAGGTGCCTGTCAGGGTGTGCTTTTGCACCAGAGAAAGGGATTGGTGCTGTTATGTTTGGGACTGGTTTTTTGCAGTTGTGTTTGGGGCTGCAGTTGTGTTTGGGATTGCTTTTTTGGCTTTTTGCAGTTGTGTTTGGGACTGCAGTTGTGTTTGGGACTGCTGGTTCCTGTGCAGCAGCTTGTGGCACCACAGGCTCCTCGGTGCTTCCTCCTGTGTTTAACCCTTCCTGTTCCCAGAGTGACCTGGAGGGGATGAGGTCAGCCAGTGGTGACCCTCAGGGTGCCAGCCTGGCCAAAGCCTGGCCTCAGGGGTGCCCTTGGCAGGGCTGGCTGGCACCTGGCACTCGGGACCCATGAGCAGCCCTGTTGGGGTGCTGAGCAGGGCTGGGGGCTGCTCTGGGGCTGAGGGTCAGCTCTGGAGCTGTGCTGTGAGGGGGCTCGGCTGTGGAGCTCTGGGGGTCAGCAGTGATCCCAAAGCTCCAGAGCTCAGCAGTGTCTCTGGGAGATCCTGAGCTCAGCAGTGACACCAAGAGCTGGTCGGCCCCAGAGCTCCAGAACTCAGCAGTGGCTCCAGAAGCTCTGGAGTCAGCAGTGACCTCAGGAGCTGGCCAGCACCAAAGCTCTTGAGCAGAGCAGTGACCCCAGGAACTCTGGAGCTCAGCAGTAACCCCAAGAGCTGGATCAGCTCCCTAGCTCTGGAGCTCAGCAGTGACTCCAGGAGCTGGATCATATCCCTAGCTCTGGAGCTCAGCAGTGACTCCTCTGGGAGCTCTGGAGCTCAATAGTGACCCCAGGAGCTGGATCAGCCCCAGGAGCTCTGGAGCTCAGCAGTGACCCCAGAGTTCTGGATCTCAGCAGTGGCCCCAGGAGCTGGTCAGCCCCAGAGCTCCTGAGCAGAGCAGTGACTCCAGGAACGCTGGAGCTCAGCAGTGATTCCTCTGGGAGCTGGACCAGTCCCAGAGCTCCTGAGCTCAGCAGTGACCCCAGGAGCTGGTCAGCCCCAGGGCTCACGAGCTCAGCAGTGACTCCTGTAGGAGCTCCTGAGCTCGGGAGCTGGCCCAGCTGTGGCCCAGTGCGTGTGTTGGGTGGTGGTGGTGGTGGTTGTGGTGGTCGTGGTGGCGGGTTTGGTCGATGCTCCACTAATCCGCATGCCTCTTTGCTGGTTCCTGTCCTAACAGGGGGTGTCGTTTGATCAAGCCAATAATCTGCTGATTGAACCTGCTCGCATTGAGGAGGAAGAGGTCTGTACCACTCCTACTGTTCTCTCTCTGCCAAAAATCACCCAGCCTGCTTGATTTGCTTCCCAGCCTCACCTGTTGTTGTAGGGGGACTCTGATCTCTCTGGGTCAAGTGGCTTCTGGACCTGACTGATCCCAAACACGATGATTGTTTCCTCCTTGCTTTCCCCCTTTCCTCCTTTCCCGGCCTTGAGGCGAGAGTGGCTGCTGCAGAGCAGGAGTGAGCTGGAAATGGTGTAAAAACCAAAGGGGCTCAGGTGGGAAGGTCAGTTCCTGTTTGCTGTGTGTTGATGGAGAAGTGGAGTTGAACAAATGGATATTTCTGGACGTGTGGGTAACCCTGGAGGAGCAGAGACCTTGAGAATCAGCCAAGTGTTGTGTACTGATCCTTTGATAAAAAGAGGGTCTCACCCAGGGCACTGTGCCCCTGCCTGGGGAAAGGACTGGAGCCAATTTGTGCATCTCCTGCAGCCTGCGCCAAATCCCTTCAAGGATTACATGCAGCATGAGGTGTCAGGAAGGGGCAGGTGGCATCTGAGGGACCTGGCATGGGGATGGTGATTGTGCTCAGAGTAAAAATCCTCTGGCTGTGAGCAGTTTCCTGCGTTTGTCTGCAGGCTCTCAGTGCCTGGCCAGTGCCTGGCCCATGGGTTAGCAGCTCTCTGCAGGCAGGTTTCCCAGGAGCTACTGAACAGCATCCCTGCTGACACTTGCATGGGGATTTCTCCCCTAGGACAGGCAGTACAGGCCCCAGAGCCGTGTGCTGGTCAGAGTGTCTCTGAGAACTTGGCTCTGCTGTTCCCTTAGGTGTGAAACTGAGATCTTGCCTGGTTTTGGAGCAAGGCTTTCCAAGTGGGAGGTGACAAATCCTTTCCACCCAGGCAGAACATGGGCTGGCTCAGGTGTTGTGAGGGATGGAATGTAAGAGAATTGTGCAGAAGGCAGTCTCACACCTGAGGAGTTGCAGCTGTATTAATCACCAAAGATTGGGAGCAGGCCTGCCCTTAATTGGCCACAGCTGTGTCCAACAAGAAGATAAGTGCTACAAAAGAGTGGGGTAGCTGGGTGAGGAGAGAATTAGAGTCAGTTGGCTGTGCTGTGGAGAGAGCTAGAGTCAGTTGGCTGTGCTGTGAAGAAACTTGGAGTCGGTTGTGCTGTGAGGAAGGAGTCAGTGCTGTGAGGAGTTGCCCATGAGAAATCACCCAGAAGGTATGGAAGATTCACAATAAGGTGACTTACAAGGTGTGGTCCCCTGTTAGTGCATCCTGAAGATTTCTCCATCTGTAGGTCCCTGAAAACCACATTAGTATTTCTTGCATTTCTCTTCTGATCCTGGAGGTCTTTTCCAGCCTCAGTTGATTGTGTGATTCCTGTGGCTGGTGTGAGGCTGGCTCTGGTGTCCTCTTCGCACAGATCTGTTCCCATCCTGAGGAAAACGTGGCTGTGCAGCCCACAAGGAGCTGGAGGTCTCCCAGGCTGGTGGTTGGAGTCACCCAAGAGCAGCCCAGCTTTGGGAAGTTGGTTGGGAATACCTGATTGTCCTGCAGCCCTGGGCAGTGCTCAGCAAGGAGCCTTGCACGAGGGCAGGTTGCTCCACGCCTGCCCAGCCTGTCCTTGAACACTTCCAAAGGCATCTGCCTGCTACTCCAGGGATGATTCCTTGAGAGGAACCATGGGGTGATGGAGCTGAGCAGAGAGCCTGGGGCTCCTGAGCAGCAGGGTTTGAGGTTCAGTATACTGCTGTCACATTTCTTGTATAATGTAATACAATCCTGGGAGAGGAGGGGTTGCTGATTCCTGGCTGTGTTCCTTATCCCTGAACCATGGCTGTGAGCTGGAGACTGATCTTGTTGGAGCAGAACTGGAGAGACACATCCAGCTTGTGCCAGCCCCAGTGTGGGGCACTCCCAGAGCTGCTCCTGGTGCCAGGAGAGAATAGCTTTGTTGGAATATGGGATGCCCTGTGCTGCAGTGCAGAATAACTTTGTTAGAGTGTGGGATATCCTCTGCTGGTGCAGTAGAATAACTTTGTTGAATTCTGGGATACCTTCTGCTGCAGCAGGAGAATAACTTTGTTAATGTGTGGGGTACCCTGTGCTGTGTTCAGGGAGAGAATGTAAGAAAATAAAGATAGTGTAGAAGGGAATCTCACACCTGAGGAGTTGCAGCTGTACTAATCCCCAAAGATTAGGAAGGGCCTGAATTTAATAGGCCACAGCTGTGTCCAGTAAGACAAGTGATACAAAAGGGTGGGTTAGCTGGTGGTGAAGAGCTTTGGAGTTTGTTGTACTGTGAAGAGTTGGAGTTTGTTGGCTGTGCTGTGATGAAGAAGGAATCAGTGCTGGGAGGAGGTGCCCATAAGAAATCACCAAGAAGGTGCAGAACTTTTGAAATAAGATGACAACAGTGCTGCAGCAGAATAACTTTGTTATAGAGTGTGGGATACCCTGTGCTGCAGCAGCAGCAGAATAACTTTGTTAAAGTAACTTGTGGGATAGCCTGTGGTGGATATCTGGGTTCCTGGGCTGGTTCTGTCCCAGGGTTTGGTCTCCATCCTCCTGTACCTGGCAGAGTGGCTGTGCTGGATTTAGAGAGGCTCTGAGAGGAGAAAAGCAGCGTTCAGTGCCTGTTTGAGGTTAGACATGAGCTCTCTTTTCAGGTGGTTCTGATGGAACAGCCTGGAAAGCTGCTGGGCAGGTTGCAGAGCAGTGGAAGGAGGGTCCCGAGGTTGCAGAGCAGTGGAAGGAGGGTCCCAAGGTTGCAGGAACAGTGGAAGGAGAGTCCCAAGTTTGCGGGAACAGTGGAAGGAGGGTCCCAAGGTGCAGAACAGTGGAAGGAGGGTCCCAAGGTACAGAACAGTGGAAGGAGGGTCCCAAGGTTGCAGGAACAGTGGAAGGAGGGTCCCAAGGTTGCAGGAACNAATGCAGGGAGCAGAAAGCTGCTCCTCTGGCAATGCAGGGAGCAGAAAGCTACTCCTCTGGGAATGCAATGGAGCAGAAAGCTGCTCCTCTGGGAATGCAGGGGAGAGGAAAGCTGCTCCTCTGGGAATGCAGGGCAGCACAAAGCTGCTCCTCTGGGAATGCAATGGAGCAGAAAGCTGCTCCTCTGGGAATGCAGGGGAGAGGAAAGCTGCTCCTCTGGGAATGCAATGGAGCAGAAAGCTGCTCCTCTGAAAATGCAGTGGGCAAAGGCTGCTCTGGTATCCCAAACCTCAGATTCTATCCAGGTTGGAATGCTTGGCTCCTCCCCATGGGCAGAGCATCTCCCAGTGGGATGATGGAATTTTATCAGCCATACAGTGACACTCACTGGCCCATGAACAGAAGATAATTAATAATTAATGGTCCATGAACAGAAGCTATCTCCCAGAGGGAGGATTGGCTGTGGAAGACATAAACAGTGAGCAGAAGATAGCTGCCCCAGCTCTGACAGGTGGTGATAGAATACACACACACACCTCACAGGCCAGGAGCCTGGCCGTGCTGGCAGGCTGGAATCCCCCCTGAGGGTTTCTCCTTGCAGGGCCTGCAGCGCAGAGCCACCCCTCACCCCAGCGAGCTGAAGGTGATGAAGAAGGTGATCGAGGTGCGGCGCAGCGAGGTGAACGCTGCCAAGGCTGATGCCAACCCCAGCTCCCCCAACTCGGAGGTGAGTGCTGGGCCCTGGGCAGTGCAGAACCACAGAGAACAGGGGGTCGTGTGTGGTGGTGCTCACAGGGGTCCCAGGACGAGGGGAGAAATGAGAATATTGGCTCCATGTTTCAGAAGGCTGATTTATTATTTCATGATATATGTTATATTCAAGGAAAATGATATACTAAAACTATACTAAAAGAATAGAGAAAGGATTTCATCAGAAGGCTTGCAAGGAAAAGAAGGAATGAAATGATAATAAAATATTATTAATAAAATAATAAAATCTTGTGACTGACCAGAGAGTCTGAGACAGCCAGACTGTGATTGGCCATTAATTAAAAACAACCACATGACACCAATCACAGATGCACCTGTTGCATTCCACAGCAGCAGA